GTGTTTCGTGTCTGCATTAATTGCAATGGGCTCAATGAGAGCTGGCTATTGGCCACTTAAGCAAGGGGAAGACAACAGATGTTAGTGACTCGAGGTTGAGTGAGGCGAGGACTGCTGCATTCCCACGTGCTGATCTACGGTTTTTTTGTTTGTTTACAGTAAAACCTGGTTTAAGCGACCCCCCTACGGTACAAGCAAAAGCGGTCGTTAAAGCCAGGTGGTCTTTAGAACCAGGTCCCAAAGTTTCTATGCAGAACTGTCCGTGCAGGGGAAAAAACGGTCGGTAAGAGCAGGTGGTCGCTAAACCCAGAGGTCGCTTACACCAGGTTTTACTGTATTAGAATTGGGTTGAAAAGCACATATCCACCAGGTAAGCTGACAAAGAAAACTCCAGCGAACATAATAATCCTCCGGAAACCTCCCTGAGAAAACAGTACGGTATGGTCCTGTACAAGGTGCGTAGCGCCGCAGGAAGCCAATGGTACTATTGACACTATCCTTATAATTATTTTTATTTTTTACTCAGATGGAGAGCCAAGGTTTAATTTACACAAAAGAGCAAGACCAAGGAACTACAAGTTACGCTATACTGTCCACTAACACCACCAGATACTAATCAATTGTTATGGCATGAGCTGATTGTTTAGTAACTGCTGGTGGTGTTAGTGGACAGTATAGCGTAACTTGTAGTTCCTTGGTCTTTCTCTTTTGTATAAATATTATGTTTAGTATTATTTATTCTTCTTTTACTAGGGAATTCCCAACAGGCGTCAGCGCCTTTTTAAAGGGAACCCTAGATATTGCCGGACGATCGCACTGGCATGAGCATGAAACTCTCAGAGTTGCAGCGAACTGGCCTTGTTCTACTGTTGCAGCACTAGTCAACTTACTTTGCATCAGCTTCGATGTATTCACGCTGTTCCTACTAACACCAGTTTTTGCTTAACATGATTAGCTCATCCCGGCAATTGAGTCTCATGCCACAGTTTACCACGTGACAAACTGAGTCACAGCAATCTACCGTGCAGGATCACCTCTCCCGGGGACACGAACGGGAAGAAAGCTTACCTCCGATCTTAAAAAATTCAAATCCTGGTCGAATCTAAGCTCGACTTGGTGCGTTGAGGCGGATAACACCAGGAAAGGAGCGCTACTAATTGAATCTGTTGACGAGGTTCTGTCCCTCTTGCAAGTCTACAAGTAAATTTGCGCGTTCTGCGTGAGTTGCCTTCTTAGCCCAGGAATGCGTCCTGGATTGGGTGATTTGTTCACGACTTGGTCCGTTTCAACAGGTCGTCACAGTTCTTCCATTTTTAGTTTTTTTTTTACAGTGCGCGTTGAGGCGCTGGGGCTGACAAGGATGCCCACTGCCCAGCACACATCATGACAAGCATGTGTGCACAACGCACAATCCGGCTATCGGTCATTAGGAACTCGCCGATAGCGAGCTAGAGTTGTCTGCCAACAAACGCTTGAGCCTGAGGTAGTTGAAGGTCTATCGTATTAGGATGAATCTGCCACATCCTCTCATGAATTGGCCCTATGGTCCTCTGCATGTACGTATGTACATTATTATGTTCTATCGTCTGATGAGTGTTTTTGAACAAGAAACTCCGAGTTACGAGAACGCTTTGGTCTCTGTTGTTCTGCCTTGGGTAGTACGCTCTGCCCTGGCCTTGTTAGGCATTGAGCACTATTTGCAGCAAGGACCTCAGACACTTTGTGTATGTATGTACATGATTGTATAATAACTCATAACCCCGTCTCATAGAGTCACAGCCTTTCTCGATGTCATGTACACCAGACTGTCCAGAGTACACAGTAGCCGGCACAGTCTGAAATAGGCACCGGCGGATAATGCTCGAAAAGGTGGCAGATTCTGCTCGAAAAGCAGTGAAATTGGCAGAGCCATACAAACCTTATGGCGGGAAATTCCTCGAATTCTGCTCCATGTCTTTATCCATATACCAAACATGCATGAAGCGTGCCAGAAAAAGTACTGAATTCTGCCAATTTTTCTGCCGGCAGAATCCGCCGGACCCTAGGCACAGACCACACCACTGCCACTGCTGTGTTCCCTTCCTATCTACTATAGAAGCAGAAACATTTGTCTGGAATTTAATTTCGTCTTTTTCGTCCAAGGAGCTTTTGGACTAAATTAAATGCCGGACTAATGTCGATTTGTGCAGCTTTTCAGTACACTCCTATGATCCATGGACGAAATTCGCAACCAGAGGAACTCTTTGTAGTTGGACGAAATTATTGACCCACGCAATTTTCTGCCTGTCATGTCATCACGTCCTCTGCTATGAACGATGTCATCATGCCATTAGTAGTATTACTGAGGCTGGTTGGACAGTTCTGTACTGACCATGTGACTGTGACGTCACTGCACTTAACCGCTGTGCTGTCTGGGTGCCTGTCCAACAGCGAACCACAGCTGGGGCAGCTTTGGACACCTACTACTAGTATTTTTACCAGGCGTGGGCCATCCCCTGATCAAAGGTGCCAAACATTTTTTTGTACATGGAACTAAACCTCCCTAGAAAAAACAAAAAAACTAGTATGCATAATTATAATGTACATGTTACACCAAGAGTACATAACCCCCTCAATTGGTTACATGCGTACTCGTATCATGTTCATAGCACGACTGTATACATGTACGGGAGACGGAAAACGTAAAGTACATCCCCTGCTGATCGTGAGCTGAGGAATGTCCATCCGCTGCGATGCCTACCTGGGGTGGCCCTGACCTCTTAGAGCGTTCAGAAACAACCCACCGAGAAGTCCCAGAAATAGCCCGCCACTACCCACCTCACATGCTGTGAAAGACGACGAAACAGCAAATGAGTTGGATGCTTCTGCCAAGTGGGTAGATTTTTTCGCATGGTCTCCGTGTTGGTCGTGGCTACTGTGAGCAGAAGGGTCGTGGGTGGAGAAGATTCTCAATTGCTCTTCGTATTCTTATCATTCTGATAGCGACAGGCCTTCTTTGCCACATGTTCGTGTACAGCACTGCCAAGTGAAATCCGACACGTTGCATGTACCTGTACCAGCCCCCGGTGGCAATGCGACCATAGCTCTACCCACACTGCTAGCCTGTACTAGGAATGTGGTGTTGCTGTACTCACCGGCTGGATTTCACTTTCTATCATCACAATACTAATACTGTTTTCACTCTGATGATTGGCCATGCACGAAAATGTGGTGACGTATGCAGCGAAGAAATCGTGTGCAGTGATCGAGCAGAGGGACCCTGACCATCACAACAATTATGTATTCATGATTGTCAAACGGTCTCTGCTGGGATGACGACTACACCATAGCTCAGTGGTCAGAGCATCGCTGGCTACAAGCGAGGGTCCCTAGTTCGAGTCCTGGTGGTGACAGTCAATTTTTTTTCTTCAGACTTTTCCCGTTTGTGTCTTTCCCTCAAACCAGTTGATAGATTGTCAAACTGTTTCCCTTTGCGCTGCATTACGCGCTCCGTTCTTTCTAATTAGCGCTTGCATGCGAAAAAGCGAAATGTCAAAGTCACCGCTCTGGCGACTTCGTCAGAAGTCACTTACAACGTATCCAGAGATCATTGTACCAGTGGTGTAAGAGCACTCCAGAACCGAAAGAGTTACTGAGTAGTTACGCGACGAGTGGGGTGTCGAATGCAAATCCCTGACTGGCGCTGTTCAATCCTGACAGGTTCGGCATGGCCAGTGCATGGTCTGGTCTAATGCTATTACTTTAGTAGACTGCATTCTGTTTGGCGTGTGATCGTGAGTGTATCGATGGCAGCAATCCCTGCACACACATATTTAACTAACTACTTCGAGAAGTAAGAGCATTACAATTTTGTAGTTGTTTACAAAATTGTAGATGTAAAGTGTGCTGTATGTATGTATGTATGTATGTATAACTCAAAATCACAAGGTGATCGTAGAGGCATCTAATCAGCGAGAGAATTGTGAATGATGTCTCTGAATTCAACTCTATCGTGTGCTGCATGAGAGAGGGCGTGCAAGGGAAGACCCGTCCAACTTTTAATGTTAGAAATCCATGATGTCGTGTGATGCCTAGTGGATCAAAATCTTTACGGCAGGTCGCAGAAGAGAATCTGATATATTGCAGGACACAGGAGAGTGCAAACATCAGCCTCAGTGATCATGCAGTGATGGGGTCAAGGCTGGCAATCAACGTCATTATGTATGTGCCAGGCTAAGTGGCTTCTAGGACACCCTTGTTCTGTCACGTGTCTCACTGACAGCGCCTACTTCGTCATTGTTGTCTTCTCCCAATCTCCAATCCGCTCTTCCTATGTTCTCTCTGTCTCTCTGCATGTGTGTGCGCCTCTTGCTCTCCCTGAACGTGGCGTATGCAGAGAGGTTCACCTCAGTCGACCTGACACTAGCGCTAGTCGTACCGTGGCATGGCAGGTTTCGACACAGCCTGGAAATAGGGCTGCATGACATTGCATTAGTAGTGGAGATGACTGACTGGCATGGCATTGTCCATGAAGTTAACGGCCATCCGTCAGGCTAGCATTGCTGCACGTCAGTTGGTCATCTTAACATAGCTCTACGTACTTATTCCAGTGTCGACATGTCCTGCTGCACTTGCCAGTCTTGTAGTGATGTGTTGTGATCTTCCAAGTCATCCAGTCCTGCTCAAGGGGCCAGGAGTAATGCATGTACATGTACACTGTACATCCTGTGATTACGGACACCATGTCTAGTGGCATTCAGGCGACGCGTGCCCGTACCGTCCCATCCACACTGCACTGCATGCACCGCCTAGCGGCTGGACACGCTTCGCAGCTTCACTCCGTGCATGCAGGACGCTGTTACTCACAGCGAAACAATCTCGTGTGGCATCGTTTTGGGGGGAAATTGTGCCTGCCACGATTGGCTTGAACTGTTGAAGCTGTCGAGCGATGTGACTATGTCTATGGGTACGTAGGTGGTTGGGTTCGGAAGGATGTAGGTAGGTAGAGCCCTGCGAGAAGGTTATGCATTTGTGCCGCCAGATCCCCGCAGTGCAATTATGTGCGAGGTCATACGCATGTATGTATTCCGTACGTGTGTTGAATCACAGTGCGGAGCCCAGGAATAACATGCTATGCTATAGGGCGGCGCGAGGTGGCTCTCCAGCACAGCGCGTGTGTATGTGTGTGTGTCTGTAATTGGGCTGTTTAAGTGCATGTGTGCGCTTAGAACTTAGTGGCTGTTCACACAGTCAGACTCATAGTGCTGTGAGGTCTGTGCTATGGTTTCGCATTCCATACTGTGCATGTGCTGCACTGCAGATGCAATGCTCGCAGCTCACTAGGAGAAAGCCCCGACGGCAACTGGTACACCATTGCCCTCAGCTGCGTGTAAGCATCAAGAGCTTCTTGTAGATTGTTATGCTGCCCTCGCTCTGCGCTGTGTGAGCTCCCGTCTGCTAGTACTTCGGCGTGTCAGAATTATTTTCTTGAATCGTCGACGCACGAGCTCGCAGTGCACCCGAAGCGCACTGGACACCGGTTGGCGCTAAAATAGAAAAATAGGCAGAAATTGTCAGCGTCTCCCGGACAAAAGTTGTCGAGAAAGTGTGCGTATGTGCAGCTTGTATGTACACGTTTGACAGACGGAAGAATTCGCTATTGACACGCTCACACGCACGCGCTCCTTCAAGCTGATGGTATACAACTCTTGGACAAGCTGCCGTTCCGTCGTCCGGGACTTCAGGAGGAAGCGTCTGTGCTCCCAATACCCTGGTGGTGTTGTATGTTCGAACGACAGAGCATCCCGTTGTACCCTATGCAGTTGCGTGTGTATACGGAGAGGTCGTTTGTCATCCCCCACCAGCAGCAGCCTCGTCTAGTTCACTCTAGATATGAGACAACTAGTCATTGATGCTTCATCTGCCCATCGTGGCTGCTGCTGCTGCTGCTGTCAACAACAACGAACAGGGAATTCTACTTCGTCATCACCGTCGTTGCTATCACCAGTCAGAGCTGCACCAAATCACAACGACAACAGTCAGCCGGATTCCAGAACAGTACACGCACCAAAGAGTTGCATACGGCTGGCAGGGAGAAAGCCGAGAGTTGGGTGAGACTCCTTTGCTATACACACACACCAGCCCTCGGATCAGGGGACTGGCGAATGCTGACCAAGATCTGAGAATCCTGGACTCCTGGCGACTATTTTGACGCGTCCCTGCTGCGAAAAATCTATATATACCCGCGGAGACTGTGCACGCCGTATTGTTGTTGTCGATATCCAGCTGCTTCTGTTACAATCGTCATCACTATTGTTACTGAAGCTAAACATTGGTGAACCGTTATCAGCTACTTGTGGAGAGAGCGTGTGTGTCGTTGTTCGTTGACCCACAATCACCCCTTGCCCAGTACGGGAACACCTAGAGAGTAACAAATCTGCCGCCACAGTTGCCGCTTAGTTGAAGCATTCTGTGCGCCAGGGTTGAGCGGCGCGGTGACTTCCCCGGTTCAGCGCGTGGTGTTGAGTGAAGCTTTCTTCTCGCGCAGACTGATTGAGCAGGTGAAGAAGACGACAACGACGACGACGACGACGACCTCAGTACATCGTCACCTCCGAGCCCCGTCGCCATCGCGAAATAGATCGACACCGCATTCCTGTGCATTCCGTCCGGGATTCTTGGTCCTGTCACCCGCTCACTGCTCCATACACGTTGAAGTCTCAGTGCTGCCGGTGATTCCGCTCTGAGCTGCTTTTCTAGCGGACGACTTTGAAGTCAAACAGTACGCAGCGCTCGTGTGCGTCAGCATCGTATCGGTTGCACCGAGTCCCAGTGCGGATTGGTGTGACCTGAAGACACCAGTGGATTGTCTAGCAGTAACCGTCGAGTCTGCAGAGAACTCTCTACGTTTTCCTCTTCCGCAGCTCCACGGTGTCCTGCTGTAGACACCGACGGTAGGTCAGTGCAGTGCTGTCCTAACAGCGAATAAACAAGACCAAGGTACGGGTGTGTGTTGTCGTGTGCTCCTGGTTTAGCAGCGTGACTCTCCCTCTCGTTCTGGCCTGCTCAGAGCCGTCGACAGAAGAGTTATAAAGAGTCTGGAGTACCGGACGCAACCATCAGAAGCCGATAGTGCCCTCGGAGAGCCACCAGTGTTCCATAACGGTTTTAGCCATTGCAGCATCGCTCTTAGAGAAACTGAAAGATACACTCCATCCATCAACGTTCAGACACTGGAGAAGGGCACAAACATCAGGAGTTGTGGCCGATAGAGAATTTTCAAGAGTATTATAGAAAGGAAGCGAGAACAGATAGTGCTGTTCTCTGTGTGGTGGTGTGGCATCAGACCTGTTTGCCTCCCTTGGCTCGGACATCTCCACCATCAGCACCTGTTGGATAGACCAGAGGAGCAGCAGCAGGAGCAGCAGGCGCCGCCGCGACCATGCGCCACTCTCTACGGACGGAGTTCTCTGCACAAGCTTTGCTTGCTGCCCTGTTAGCGTTGGCCCTAGCGGTGAGTCGGACGCGGAGTGCTACAGTGCTGACAGCGCATGCACAGGCGGTGTCACCCTCCGACGCGCACGAAACGGCCAGAAAGATAGCACGAGTCATCATGGGAGAGGAGGACTTGTCCGGGCCGAAACCAAACGGCCCCACAGAAAAAGAGTTTAGGGAGCCGGCGAGGGAATCGATGTCAACGCGTAAAGAACAACGGAGAAAAGATACCATTCTGCAGTTGATGGAACAAAGCGAGGAGAACCTGAGCAGGAGTCGGGACGTGGAAGAGTACGACATAACGAAAAACCGAACGGAGCAGTATGACATAATACGAGCAATTCCTATGACGGACACTCGAAAGAAAGGTAAGCAATCGCCTACCCCACTGGCTGCATGTTCGCTAGTACAGCTGTCAAGTACGAATTTGTCACTGCCAGTGTTAGTATCGTTTCTGGGTGTCAATTCTGACCGCGCGCTCCTTTTGAGGAGAGGCAATGGGGTGACGAGCTGCGTAGGATGGTGAAATGGAATCCGCATCACAATACGAAGTAAACTACGCGGGCTGGTGAATTCCTTAGTAGTTTCCTTGGTAGATGGCTCCAGGTAAAGTTGGTGTGAATGTACCACTGCGACCGCATACTGTCCTGCAACTGTACTGTGACTTGTCACCCTATGTGTATGTGTGTGTGTGCGCGCGCGCGCGTGTGTGTGTGTGTAAGGTTGTGTTTTCGCTCGTTGCGTAACTTGTCAACGACCTCCGGTACAATAGCAGGAACACTAGATGAGCATGTGGTACATTTCACTGTTTACAATTATATGCCGGATGTTCGTTTCCGGCCCTTGGACGAGAAGCGCGAGAATACGTCGACGTAAATTAACGCGTGAATGTGTGAAGTTGCGATGCGTGTCGTGAAGTCCCCCAAGGCATTAGCGGACAGTTCACATCTGGGACGGCCAAAGGCGAAAAAGGCACTAGAAACATGATTGTTCCGTTTTGTACAACTAACTTCATACAATTGCCTCCACTCGCTTCCATGTAATTGGGCGACACGGCCCGGCCCGTTGGGTTGTACGAATTCAAGTAAAAATCGTAATTACTTGTACCTATTGGGTGGTCGTACACCAGCAGTTAGTTTGACTCTCTGCCATTCTATATTACAGTATTTGTATTCATGGATTCTCCACAGGCGCCTCAGCCTAAATCCAGGGAGTCTCCGTCTGGTAGCGCGCGATCTTTCCTGCCTGCCGCCCTGCCGCTCCTTTTGGGAGAGTTCGGCGAAACTCGTTTCGATCGACCACGCAAACGCTGAGCTTACTAGAATCGGTACATGACTTTTGTATTTCGTTCGTGCGAGTCCACCACGATGACCAGATTCAGTCCTGCATACTGACGAGGCGAGCATCCGCGTTCGGTGCATGGTGATTGCGCTGACTGCGAATGATGATGCCGAGGCACCTCGTCCCCAGAAATCACTTCAACGGTGTAGTGAAGTCGATGGTTCTGCAGTATCTTCCGTTGACGATTTTGTGCATACCCGAGCCGGGCACCAATAGCGCGGTGGGCACCCTGTAAGAGGAACTTAACCCGCTTAGGATCTTTAAGAACACTCAAGTAAAATGATGAATTGATGATTACAACGCCAGACAAAAATACAATACGATTTCTAAACAATGTCATAATTCTAGTTCTCTGTTGGTCTAGATACCGGTGTTCAGAGACTTGGCTACGTTTTGTTGTAGTTTTGAACTGTAAATGAACGATGGCATTGTTTTCATGTCGACACTGGCAGATGTCACAACACTGACCCAAATCTACCACGGGCTGGGATGGGCGCTGAGTGACGTTCTAATCACAGTAACCCGGGTTTCGCTCTTGGTGTCTCTCAGAGGGTTTGGCTGCAGTGGCCGGGGTGTCTGTGGGATACATGTAGTTGTTTATACCTGATAGCGTTGTGCGGCGAGACATTGATTGACACCAATAAAGGTTTTCTCATTTGGTGTGATTTAGTGCAGGAAACCCTGGCTCATTGAGTTTACGGGACCAATACATCCTGTACTGCATTATTAGGGCCTCTTCGAGCTTCTTTCGGCAATCTTGCAATTGCGCTTTCTCTGGTGTGTGTTCTGTCCGCACGTAGGGTCTACGGAGATCGACTAGTAATTGTTGGGAAATGAGTTGGCCTAGCAAATAGGACTGTGTCAACACAATCATGTACCGTGTGAAAACTGTTCTCCTTGCAACAATCCGTCGAGTCATGCTCGCGACCTCCCGGTATCCCGTAGTTGTCCCGAGCCACGGCCACGCGCATGGACGCCTACATTGTCATTGCGTCCTGGATGTTTATCAGCGTGTATCTCGCGTTGTGGGACGCATCCAATCCGCAATCCACTTTCAGCTTGAAAATAGTCTCTATCGGCTGGGCTATGAATACACTGCGTGTATTTAGCCAAAAACATGCACCCCCGGGCATACACGGCAGGAACATGTGAACTGTGGGTCAACAGAGGGAAAACATGCCAGCGACGAATACAATCATGTAGATCTACAGATTGTGAATGGACTGAACTGTGAAGGTCTACTCGCATCAGGTACTAGTGTGTGCCTCGGAGTCACACACGCACCGCTAGCGAGAGATGACCGAGCCGAGATAACCTTTGGACACGGGTACAGAGGGATTTACGGGAGCGAATCAACGACGGCAGACGCAATCATCGAACCATAATAATGGCAGAGCATCTGAAATATTCTGCGTGCGGCTCAGCGCAGCACTGGACTGCGACATCTAGCTTGGTGTCGACTGTAGGGGCGAAGTCCTCTCTCACTTCACGCTCCACAGGGGTGAAGGGCCCGTAGACATTCTGGCTTAGGTCTAATGCGGTTAGCACTGAGAGACGATCTCGCAAAGTGGCGCTAATTGCGCGCTCGAGTGGCCACTTTCGGGGAAAACACGGCGCTCGGAATCAGCAAGTGGCGAAAAAGTCTCTCAAGTCCGCGATGGGCGAACTGTCCTCATCTCAACGTGGCCGTGCACTCCACTCAGGAAGTACATCGCGTGCACATTCCCAATCTGGGATGAAAGAGCCAAGTAAAGTTGGGTGTGGAAGAGTTTATGAATTGCCCTTGTTTGTGCAGCACATTCCTCCCAGGAAATTGCGCTGTACATGTACTACAGTAGTTCGCTGTGCAGAATGTCGTCGTATTAAAACGAATAATTTTGACTTGAATTGATGCGTGGCCAACCAAAGGATTGGCCCTAGTTCGTACTAAAGGAAAGTTCGCCTTATCAGTGTTCGTCCTAGCGAGGTTTGACTGTACGTAGTTCTGTATGAGCAGTATCTGACACTACAGTAAGCGCTATAGACATTCTCAGATTCTACTTTGAATGTGCACGCCGTAGAGACAACAATAATATTGATATTGGCCATCAATAAGATCAGCCGCTGCCGTCATTGTAACACACAAACACACACACACACACACACACACGCACGCACACACACACACACACACACACACACACACACACACACACACACACACACACACTATCAAACGAAGTCTTATACGCTATTGCATTTCGTTCGAAAGTGTTTTGGTGCAGCAACAACAACAACAACAAGAACAGCTCACTTATTGGCGATCGTGCCATCGTGAGAATAAAGAATTCAAACAACAACACAACAACAACAACAACAACAACAACAACAACAACAACAACAACAACAACAACAACAACAACAACAACAACAACAACAACAACAACAACAACATAAACAATAATTCTCTTACTGCCCCAGGCTATCGTGAGAATAAAGGTTTGAGACAAGTTATGAAACAAAGTGAGAAAGGGGAAGGTAGAACCTTCAGCATTGTGTTAACTGTTGCACCCTCTGACTCCATAAATAAATAATAATATTATCTTACTTGGGCTAAGAAACCCACGATACTTCCAAGCCTTCTCGTCAGGTGAAATACAGGCAAGGGAAAAGGAACAGAAATAGTCACAGTATTATCTTGCTTACAATTGTCTAATAGTGTTGGCCAAACCACAGATAACATGTACCATTTTGGTTCTTTCTTGTAATATTTGCACTTGTACTTAGCTATGTAAATCGCTGCCATTGCTTTGCCTCGTGGTATTGCCGTTAACTACTTCCTATACGGCTACCCTGTAACACCTACATGAACCGTCCCATTGTTCTCTGTTGCCCGCTTCGTTGTCTCCCTACAATATTGCACGATTCTTGCAGTTGGAGAAACTGTTATGAAACTGTTGTGAAGCTTTCGAACACAATACATGATGAATTGCTACTGCTACTAGTATGTGAACTCTCATAATACTGGCATGCGGTACAGTATTACCTTCCACATAGTCATTAGTCTAGCATGGCGTCATAATTATATTTATCTCAATTCAGCGTTTTCCGAAGAATAGAAAAAGAAGAATAAAAATGGTCTCCCGTTCTCCCTTTCCCGGTGAGGCAGTGCGATAGAAAAAAATTAATGAAAAAATAAAAAAACTTGTTTCTTGGCTCCACTATTAAAAGGAGGCGTATTAAAAGGAGGCGTTCCGTGCCCTTGCTGCTGACCGAAGCGGTTGGGTGGGCATCTGTGCCAGAGTGGTGTCGGCACCCTAGTTTTTGTCTTCTTTTCGCATATTTCTTCTTTTTCTGAAACTGTTATGGTCTTTTGTATCTATTCGAAGTGGCTTATGCGAACATTTTTGGCTGGTTTGCATGATTTGCATGCCCATTAATGCAGCTGCAGGCTATGCTGATGTCTACGCGAACAAGCACATAATAATAATAATAATAATAATACTATTAAAAAGATCTAATTTCATTGTACCATTCCCTGTGCTGTTTGTTATTGCTTTCCCTGCTGCAGGTCACAACAACTGCAGTATCATCACGTTTGACCTGCACCAGGCCAGCCACAAGGAGAAGCTAGTGCGCGCCGAGCTGCTGCTGCACACCAAGCTGCGGGTGGGCGCGGCGAGATCCTCCGGCAGCGGCGTTCGCATCGTGCGCATCTACCGCGTGGGCGAGGACGGCAGCCACCAGGAGCTGATCACGCAGAAGGTGATAGCGTTCAGCCCGATGATCCGCGACCAGGACAAGATCCGCTGGGAGACGTTTGACGTGTTGCCGGCCGTGAAGCAGTGGATGAAGGGCGAGCCGAATCACGGCCTCCAGCTGGACGTGCTGGCCAACAACGAGAGCATGAAGTGCGGCTCGCGCCGCGACGTGCACTTTGTGCGCGGTTTCAACAAGCTGAACCGGCCCGTCCTGCTGGTGTACAGCCATGACTACTCCGAGCCGATTCGTCGTCACGGCGACCAGCGTGTGCTGGCACCGTACGGGCGGTCTCGCCGATCATCGCCGTCGCAGGAACAATCGCGGAACGCCATCGCCGAGAACCAGAAGAGCGCCAACCCGCACGGCTGCGTGCGCCAGGAGTACAATATCGACTTCCGCAGCGCCGGCATCCTGGGAAACTCTCTGATCTCGCCGGCGATGCTTGACATCGGAATCTGCAACGGCGAGTGCATCTCGCCGGGCTCGTCCAACGGCGTGCGTCATACCAATCACGCGCGGTTGCAGGCGGTGCTGCACAGCAATAAAACCCTGGAGCACATCATCCCCGCGCCGTGCTGCTCGCCGAACACGATGGGCTCTAGGTCGTTTATCTACCATGTGCAGGGGACGGTGGTGGCGAGGATCCGGCACGACGTCGTTGTCGAGTCGTGCGGCTGCCGGTGATGCATGAGGATCCGGCACGACGTCATCGTCGAGTCGTGTGGCAGACGGTGATGAAATGCAATCGCAACGCCTATGGTCGTTGTGATATGCATTCCCGAATTGTGATGATTTCGACACACCTGGCTGACTTGTGATGATGATCGGATGACATTGACGGAGCGACTATGATGTCATTGACAGAGTGACTATGATGACATTGACGGAGCGACTATGATGTCATTAACGGAGCGACTATGATGTCATTATCGATTTCTTGATCAAGGCGTTACTTGATGGTGATCCTGCTGATGATGATGTCATCGGACGCAGAGCATGACTCACCATGACCATACAGAGCATACGGCTATAGATGCATTATTTCAACCTTTCTGATCAGCGCAGAAATTCGCGCACTGTACATGTACTACTACTACTACTACTACGCATTGCATCAATCTTGAGTCTGCCAACCCTACCTCCCAAATTCCCACAAACCATGCACAATACCAATCACAAATCTTGAGTTTGTAAATTCGCAAACTTATGTTGCATCCTCTCATTTCTGTATGCCGACGGTGCTGGAACACATACACACATACACACACACGCGCACACACACACGCACGCACACACACACACACACACACACACGCACACACACACACACACACACACACACGCTATTTTGCACTCGTGATCACCTCCTCTCTATGCAGACACTGAGAACGGAGGAGCTAACTGCCAGAACTGAAATCCACACTTCTATCTCATAGCACATCTGGCATACGCGCCGGAGTTGATTATGATCTATGTGTCCATTCACATAACACTGCATTGTACTCTGGTGTGGCCTTGCTGTTGTGAACGAAGGAACCCGTGACGAGCGGGCTTCTAACCCAGCACCCCTCTCGTTCTATGACAGTGCCCTATCTATTTAGGTTCCCCGGGGTCACACCCGGGTCCTGGTAAACACTGCCATTACGGTCACGTGTCCACTTGCGGGGCCGAGAATATGGAACGAGCGACGGCAAAACTGCAAAGTCGGCAGTCCGCTGAGAGAGAGAGGTCAGGTACCATGTTCAATTTGCACCACGAGAGGCCATCTCTGGCAGCTATGGATGACCCCCCCCCCCCCACACACACACCCGTGGCTCCTTCTTGCTACATCACCAAATCTTGTATGCACATAGCATTCAGTTTTTGAGAAGATGTGAGTTTGGGAAATCCTTTAAAACATACTACATAATGTTCATGTTACTACAGCCTCAGACCTCTGCCCATAATTATTTATTGTAGTCCACCAGGGAGTAGTGAAGTTCTACGCCCTGTAATCAGGGAACAAAGGCGTGAAGCCCCTGCATCAAGTGGCATGCTTGCAGACAATGGTGCTTCCATCTGACATGCCCTATTTGGCACAGGACAGAACCAGGTGGGTTAGATGTTCGACGCACAAGCATATTGTCAGTCGACAATGAAACATAATTATTATCTTTTAATGTGAGATGAGTACGATGTCGAGTGCACTAGTGCCTGCCAATCATCGTGATATGCAAGTCAACAACAAGGAACAGAAGTACTCCTCAGGTCGAGGGGAAAACAGAGAAGGGGAGGCGAGGGGGGGGGGGGGGGAGGGCGTCACATTACAACGTAGGTATCGACAGAGGGATGGGGCATGGAGAGAGGGGGGGGGGGGGGCGCTATAGTGAAATTGAGAGGTAGAGGTAGAGGTATAGAGCGAGAGAGAGAGAGAGAGAGAGAGAGAGAGAGAGAGAGAGAGAGAGAGAGAGCGAGAGAGAGAGACAGAAAGAGAGAGAGAGAGCGAGAGTGAGAGAGAGAGAGAGAGAGAGAGCGCGAGAGAGAGAGCGAGAGAGAGAGAGAGAGAGAGAGAGAGAGAGCGAGAGAGAGAGAGAGAGAGAGAGAGAGAGAGAGAGAGAGAGAGAGAGAGAGAGAGAGAGAGAGAGAGAGCGGAGAAGGAGGAGTAGAAAGGGGAAACAGATAGAAAAATAGCGACAGAGGAGATAAAAGAGAGATGGATAGTTCCATATTAAAAATAGAGATAGATCATTGAACAGTAAAGAGGTCTGCGTCTGATTATTCAATACTCATTTCATCATTTAAAGCAGGAAAGAAACAATTTGTGAAGTGAATATGTTGCAGCAGAAGCTCATCACCACAATAGATATATAAAGAAGAGACCGAAATAGTTTAAAACAACAGCGCCAAACCAAAAACGAACATGTCAATCGCAACATGAACGGAATGAAGCACTCCCTGCATGTTACACAGCCATGTCAAACTCTGCTTGATTGGCGAGGACAGTAAGTGCCGGCTTGGTGAGGACACTGTTAAGTACTGCTTGCTTGACAAGGGTCAGTATTTGCTTGCTTGACAAGGGTCAGTATTTGCTTGCTTGACAAGGGTCAGTATTTGCTTGCTTGACAAGGGTCAGTATTTGCTTGCTTGACAAGGGTCAGTATTTGCTTGCTTGACAAGGGTCAGTATTTGCTTGCTTGACAAGGGTCAGTATTTGCTTGCTTGACAAGGGTCAGTATTTGCTTGCTTGACAAGGGTCAGTATTTGCTTGCTTGACAAGGGTCAGTATTTGCTTGCTTGACAAGGGTCAGTATTTGCTTGCTTGACAAGGGTCAGTATTTGCTTGCTTGACAAGGGTCAGTATTTGCTTGCTTGACAAGGGTCAGTATTTGCTTGCTTGACAAGGGTCAGTATTTGCTTGCTTGACAAGGGTCAGTATTTGCTTGCTTGACAAGGGTCAGTATTTGCTTGCTTGACAAGGGTCAGTATTTGCTTGCTTGACAAGGGTCAGTATTTGCTTGCTTGACAAGGGTCAGTATTTGCTTGCTTGACAAGGGTCAGTATTTGCTTGCTTGACAAGGGTCAGTATTTGCTTGCTTGACAAGGGTCAGTATTTGCTTGCTTGACAAGGGTCAGTATTTGCTTGCTTGACAAGGGTCAGTATTTGCTTGCTTGACAAGGGTCAGTATTTGCTTGCTTGACAAGGGTCAGTATTTGCTTGCTTGACAAGGGTCAGTATTTGCTTGCTTGACAAGGGTCAGTATTTGCTTGCTTGACAAGGGTCAGTATTTGCTTGCTTGACAAGGGTCAGTAATTGCTTGCTTGACAAGGGTCAGTAATTGCTTGCTTGACAAGGGTCAGTATTTGCTTGCTTGACAAGGGTCAGTATTTGCTTGCTTGACAAGGGTCAGTATTTGCTTGCTTGACAAGGGTCAGTAATTGCTTGCTTAACAAGGGTCAGTATTTGCTTGCTTGACAAGGGTCAGTATTTGCTTGCTTGACAAGGGTCAGTATTTGCTTGCTTGACAAGGGTCAGTATTTGCTTGCTTGACAAGGGTCAGTATTTGCTTGCTTGACAAGGGTCAGTATTTGCTTGCTTGACAAGGGTCAGTAATTGCTTGCTTGACAAGGGTCAGTAATTGCTTGCTTGACAAGGGGCAGTAATTGCTTGCTTAACAAGGGGCAACGGCGACTTTCTGGCTGAGTACCATGTCATCACACGCAATCACTGAGCCGTGCGTATTTCCGCACTGCTGGCCGTGCTGCTCTTGGCAACGGGACCGGGTATGAGGGTATACTCATCCTCGGCCGTTTCAATCTTGTCCACTGCTTGCCTGGCTCCGGGTCGAGTTGCAGCAGAGGCGGTTGTGATGGAGGCAACGGCGGGCGTTGAATCTCCCTTTCTGCCGCCTAGCAAGTGGAACGTTCCGCTTGCCGCCTTCTTCAACGTGGCATAGATATCACCCTGTGTCGTCTCCACAGGAGCGCTGGCTGCCTGGCTTGCCGTTTCGTCCGTCATTTGCCGTCGAATCGCCGTGGATACGGTGGGGTGCGACGGGCAGCCGGCATTGTCGAACGGCACGAGACTGTACTCGGCGTCTTCGCTGAAGACCATCGGCGCCTCGACGATGGCCTCCGGTGTGTGAGGATCTCTCGTCTGTGAATCTTTGCGGCTGCTGTTCCGGGTGTGTCGACTCGACGACGACGACGGCCTCGGTCGTGCCACGTGGCCTCCTGCTTGTATGTAGTCCGTGTTCTCCGCCATGTCATACAGCTGCATATCGTCCTGGCTGCGTAGGCCTGGGGACGTGGGCTCAACCCCGCCGTAACCCAGTGGCAGAGCGTCGCACACCGTCGAGATGGTGGCGGTGCGCGAGCGACTTTTGTCGCGGAGACTCATCTCCCGGCTGTGCTGCATGGCGTTGCTATCGCCAACCGTGCTCCGTAGCTTCTTGGCGAGCGTGGCGTTAGTTGCGGCGGCTTTCAACGACTTCCGCGAGTTGCCGCATGTGTACGCGTCGTCGTCCGTTTCCCGGTTCTCGCTGACGACGAAATGCAGGTCTTGGTCGCTAGGGTTACGCCACAGGCTGCCATGATAGTCGGCGTTGTCCTGGTCCTCGTTGACCAGATAGCTGCCGACAGTGCGGACTGTGTCCTGGGTTGCTAGGCGTGTCTTTGCATTGCGCGGCTTTGCGACAACGCGTGCTCGCACGCTGCCCTCGTTTGGATCTGTCGCGCCGACGGTGTCCGTGTACGCCACAGGATCGTCCATATACATGCACTCCTGCTCGGCTAAGATATCATTGGAGCCTGAGCGCCTAAGAATGCACGGCTCGCTGATCGTGGAGCGGTTCACGCCCGTCTCGGTGACTTCTAGCACGCTGTATATGGCGGACGGATCATGCTGCTCACCAAATATGGGAGACGGATCCTGCTGCTTGGAGTGTGCCGCCGGCAGACAGTCATATTCGGAGTTGTAGATGTCCTCCGAGTCTCCAAAGATATCACCAGGGCTCGGGATGGTCTCATGGCCCGCACGATGCACGGCGTTGGCGAAGCCGTCCGCAGCGTCGTACAGGAAGTCCGACTGAGCAAAGCCATTATCGCCCCTGGCGCTTATGGCGGCTAGTTCGTCGGTGGGTCCGATGCTGAAGAGAGACCGCTGTCTGGCGTCTGCCGGTGTGCGCTCATGAACGCCGCACGAGTCGCGACGGCTGGCGACGTCGGCCAGGTACAGAGTGGAGTCCATGCTGCCGGACCGGTGGTCGCGAGTCATCGACATGCGAGGGGCCGCGTCGGACGGGGACGAGGAGTGTAGGCTGGTGGCCGGGTCGCCGGCGCTGCGGACACCGGTGGCCACGTCCGAATACAGCTCACGACCGCCGTCATCGCCGGTGTTGTTTTTGTTGCTGGTGACCTGCTGCATTTTGCGGTGCCTGCTCTGCGATGAGGTGTTGACGGACCTGACCTCGTTGAGTCTGCAATGAACAATGCACACCAAAAACGAACAGATTTTTATCACCGTAAAGTACTGTTGATCCGTCCCCGCTGTACTTTCCAGCCACTGTCTAATTTCTGGATGTAAAGCGATGTCGGCGTATACATGTGCAATGCAATACGATGTTGAACCCACGCATCTAATGCTGCACACAGTACGTGCCAGTGCAGGATGAACACATGCACACTCCAGCATACTACAGACATGTACAAAGATTTGTCTGTGTCCCAAACAGTGGTGTTATCACAACGCTTACAGTCCATTTCAAAACTATAGACGCGTACAGTCAACTTCGCCAATAACGACTTCGGATATAACGACAATTCGCGAATAACGACATAATTTTCATGCCCAGAGCAAAGTCCCATCCAACTGTGACACATATAATGAGACTTCGGGTATAACGACACTTCGCGAATAAGGACACTTTTCTGATGCCCCGCCGCCGAGTGTCGTTTAAGCGAAGTTGACTGTACCTAGGCAAAAACCGTAATGCCAGCATCTATACCACATAAAATCCGTGATCACTTTGTGCATAATTTTCCAAATTGGGCGTCTCTTATCCAATCGTTTAGAAAACTATATGAGAGTAACTGTGGAGCGGACCTGAGCAATATTCTGAAAACTATTCTCAAAAAGTTCCAGCCAAATTTGAAATATTAAAAAAAACACTGCATGTCTATAGTTTTGAAATGGACTTAGCAGTACATTAAGTTCCTGGCTGCTTCACCAATAGAGTTCACCAATATTGTTCACAAATTCCCGTCCGAAAATTCCCTGCATTACAGCACTGTACAAGCAGAAATATTCGTCTGGAATTTAATTTCGTCTTTTCGCCCAAGGAGCTCTCGGACTAAATTAAATGCCGGACTAGTGTCGATTTGTTCAGTTATCAATACACTCTTTATTTATTATATTATATGATCCATGGACTAAATTTTCAACCGGATGAACTCCCTTTCTCTAGAGTTGGACGAAATTATTGACCGGCGAAATTTTCTGACTGTACCGTATCTAGCAATAGCTGTACTCCAACGTACCTTGCGTGGACTTGCCTCGATCTGTTGCTGAGTCCTTGCTTGGTGATGAGTGCCACCAGAACAAGGAGCACAGCGGCAAGCGCTCCGCCCACGCCGAAAAACAGTCCACCTCCGGCCGTGCCTACATGGAGAATGACCATAACAAAAAACGACAAAGTCACGCTTCTGAACTCCACCCGCTCGCTGTCAGCTGACTACTACATTATCCTCTCCATTCTATCACCCTTCCGAGCCTGTTTTTTCTCGCCTCCCCATTCTCTTTCTGCCCTCTTCTCTTCAAAGTCGCCTCCTTGTGAGAAGGCACCATTGCCTGTTTGGTTGCACGACTATAAATAAAACCATACTAGCCTCTTGTACGTACAAAGCAAATGTGCTTACATAATAATTATTATGACACAAAATCTGCGCTGCTTTGTTGTTGACACGTGCACCTTTTTGTGCTGAGTACACCACCTTTTGTGCTGACGAGGGCACCAATTTCTGATATCATGTTTTCCTTTTGCCATGTCAGTCGTGAGTTGTCAGAGTCAGTTGTCCGACGTTCGTCGTCAGTTGTCCGACGGTCAACGTCAGTTGTTAGACATTCGTTGTCAGAGTCAGACGTTCGTTGTCAGTCGTTCGTTGTCAGTGTTGGTTCTTCTTTATGAGTTCCCCAGTCGCCTACTGAAATGAGGTAGAAGAAAAGCTCTCTAACAATTTGTACTGGCTCTCTGTTGTGTGGCGCGGCGAGGAGCGTAGAGGCAGTTCGTTCACGGTTCTCAAACCCGTGACGACATTTGGCGCCCAACTAATCGAACCCACGACCCTGAAGCTCGTCGCTCTCCGGCCGGTGTTTTTCGTTTTCCTCTTCGCGTTCTCGCCATGGCTCAGCTTTGCTGCGTCTGTTCAACCCTTTCCTAGATCCTCGGAGCTCCTACTCAGGTGAGCATGCCTTTGTAATTGTCTGCTCTGCGTAATGTGTTGCCGTACCTTGTATTCGATTTCGAATTTTCAAATAATTGTTTTGCGTCGGGTGACTCGGGTCCTGGCAGGAATTCCGTGGAACCGTGTTCTCTTGTGTTCTCTTGTGTACTCGTAGTGTAGTCTTGCTGCTCGTTGGAAGTTCGCCCCGTTGTGTTAGTTGTGTCGCTCTGACTACCCTGTACTGTACTGTTGTGTATAAAAATTTCAAACTTCTGTGCGTGCGCTACTCGTTCGAATCTGGAACTTACTTGTGTTTGCATGTTCGTCGTGCATTCAGCATGGGTAGCTTTGATCTCGTCTTGTGTTGTGCACTTGTGCTTGTCACGGAGTTGCCGTCGGACTGCTCCGATAGTGTGACTGTGTCGCGTGATTTGTTTAGATGTCCACCTGAACGTTCTCGAGGTGCTGCCTCGTATGTAGTCGATTCATATTGTTTTGTTTCGTGTTTTTACCGTTTTAGTAGTAGTTTCTCCATGTTCTGTGTACATGGTGTAGAGCGTTGTCAGGCTCGGTCATGCGCTGTCAACAAAGTAGGAAAGCTGTTGGCTTCCGGTTTGGTGGGAGGTGTGAACTTCATGTAGGATTCTCGTTCTTGATCCAGGTTGAATTTTTTTGTGAACGTATGGTTTTGTAATAATTGTGTTTCGGCATGTGGGTTTCTCTAGTTCGTCTGGGTGGGCGTCTGATCATGGTGAGCCACGGTCTGCTTGGTGGTCTGCAGGAATCCTGCGTTTTTTGTATCGGTTTGCCTTGCGGGTGTTATGGTTTCCGGGTGTTGCTGGTTGGCCCTTGTGCGTCCCAATCGGTCCCTGACAGTTTCTTTTCTTCAGTTTTTTGGTTTTGCGACGGATGTACTATAAGTTCCGTGTTTTTCAGGTTCAATCCCTGTGGTTTTTTCAGGTTCAATCCGGAGGCGGATTTCAAGTGCCGGATTAAAGCGTAGAAAATGAACTGAAAAAATCCGTTTTGCCCGAAAGTGTGCTGGTTTGCAAGGGTGCTGGGAAACAAGTGCCGGATTGGAGAGGGACGACTGTATGCCAGAAGATGGGGAAAGTTTGTTTTCGCGCACGCAAGCAGGCAATACGTCATCAAAAAAACAACAAAAAAACAGGAGCAGGACCGCGGTACCGCGAAAATCGCATACATGTACATGACATATGTACAGTGTCGGTTGACTTGCAATTTCGGCTCGCATTCCTCCCTCCCCCCCCCCCCCCCATACGAATGATGTTCGTTTAAGGACAACAAAAAACTTTTGCGGCGACCCCTAAAACGAAGTAGCAAAGTTGCTGGACCAGCCGGTGGTTGTCCGCTCTCAGGAAAATGTGGTGGAAAAGGAGGCTGTGTTGGATTAGTGGTAGAAACTCACTTGGATCTGACGATTCTTGTCGGGATCGAATTGCTGTTGTCTGTTGCTCTGATCTCGTCGTTTCGGGCACTGCTGGTGCTGCTGTAGCTGCTGCTGCTCCCCCAGTAGCTGATGTGGTGGTGGCCGTGGCGGAGGTGGACCGAACTGGGGTAGTAGTAGTTGTTGTCACCGGTGTAGTGGTCGGTAGAGCCGTAGTTGTTGGTGCCGCAGTTGCGGCTGGGGTAGTCGTCGATGCTGCAGTTGCGGCTGGGGTAGTGGTCGGTTCAGCCGTAGTTGTTGGTGCTGCAGTTGCGGCTGGGGTAGTCGTCGGTGCTGCAGTTGCAGCTGGGGTAGTCGTCGGTGTGGTGGTCTGTGTGGTGGTTGGTGTGGTGGTCTGTGTGGTGGTCGGTGTGGTAGTTGGTGCGGTGGTTGGCGCAGCAGTGGTGGGGATTGCTGAATAATGAAACAGAACAACACGTGTAGACAGAGCATGCCAGCAGAACAACATGACTCCTACTCATAATACATCCCTGGACCTACTGGTACAGTGTATGCCAGAAGATGGGGAATGTTTTTTTTGCGAACGCAGGCAGGCAATACGTCATCAAAAAAAAAACAGGAGCAGGATCGCGGTACCGCGAATGTCAAGTGCCAGTGAAACCGTGCTGCTCCACCGTGAGCCGCAGCATTCGCACCTGCCACGGAGCCGTGCAGCCCGGTCGTGAGACCACCGATTGGCCAAGTGAAATGTGTACATGCATGCCTACACACTGTACGTCTGTTACTGTACGTCTGTTACTGTACGTCTGTTACTGTACGTCTGTTACTGTACGTCTGTTACTGTACGTCTGTTACTGTACGTCTGTTACTGTACGTCTGTCACTGTACGTCTGTTACTGTACGTCTGTCACTGTACGTCTGTTACTGTACGTCTGTTACTGTACGTCTGTTACTGTACGTCTGTCACTGTACGTCTGTTACTGTACGTGTGTTACTGTACGTCTGTATGTTCTGAGCTCCGGGCAATGCCCAGTCTCAGCTCGCCCGGATTCGGGGTGCTTTACGCTATACAGTGGACTTTGCGTGTAACGACACTCGGCCGGGCATCAGAACAGTGTCCTTATTCGCGAAGTGTCCTTATACCGAAAGTCTCATTACTATGCATACATGTAGAATGGACTTTGCTCTGGGCATGGAAATTCTGTCGTTGTTCGCGAATTGTCGTTATACCCGCGGTCGTTAATAGCGAAAAGTTGACTGTACATATGTTTGACGATCAACACGAGAACTAGAGTGCATGGGCAAAGCCAGGAAGTGCAGAGCAATTCAGACATGAGTATGAGCAGAGGCGACTATCATATCACTAATAACGATCCAACGTTCAATTCTAACGATCAGAGAATGAATTAATAAATCTGTTAGAGTTTGTTATGTGCACAGCGATTTGTACACGTACAGTCACTTGCAGGTCCGGGAGCTTTTCACACACAGAATTCGTTAGCATTCCACCTCGCTATTAACCAACAAAAATTCTGGAGATGGTTAAACTTTTAAAATAATTTAACACAAAATATTTTGAAAAGAAGAAGGAAAAAATGTTACGAGTTATGACTAACTGTCCACCAGCGTAACCAGATCTTATACAGTCAGAGAATGCAACAAAATGGCACAAAACTGACAAGGAGTACTGAGACATTCGGCAACCTCACACCTTGTCGCATTCGCTGACTGTATAAGATCTGGTTACGTTGGTGGACAGTTTGTCATAACTCGTAACATGTTGTCCTTCTTCTTTTCAAGATAATTTAATTGGCTCAACATCCGAGTTACAAAAATTTTTTAAAATAGTTTTGTGCTCCAGTATCACTGTACACTAATTAGATGCCGACCAAAGCTCACCCAGGGTTCTAGCTAAAGGGGTTAGGGGGGGGGGGGGGTTAGGGGTAAGGGGGCGCAGCAGCCCCCCCCCCCCCCTTACCCTGTTTGCCCCCCCCCCTCCCTGTGAAAAAGCACCGCCGTCCTACTCATTGCCCGATTTTCGTGTTTTTTCTTGCCTTTAACCCTTTGCATGCTGAGCCCCTTTTCTCCAATCCACTGGCTTTCCAGCGCACTGACTCTCTTGGTGGAGTATGCACTCACAGCTCCGAACGAAATTTATACTCATTTCACTCCACCTTGATGGATTTTCATCGTCCTGGGCTCATTGGAAAGGTCAGGACCAAGCGAATCCATCCTGGCAGCTCTAAGCTCCATAGACACATCAGGGCCACTTCCACGTCCTCTCCAAACTACTCCACCGTGCCTCGGAACGGCGCCACAACTCAATTTCACATTCTTGTTCGGCTTCTTGCCCAAATTCAACAGATTTTCACAATTCAAACTGCGCTGCAAAGCTCAGATCCAAGCGCTGCATTTGATGTCCATCACGCATGCGCCGTGCCAAAGGGAAATACCCTGACACGCTCCTCAACAAAAATAATTCATGAACAAAATAAATTTGCGTTCACTCTGGGCCGTGATTTCCGTGTTCATCTTGTCGCCGCTCAATGAATTCTTATCCTATCGCGAAGAACTTTATATCCCCGGAAAGATGAGGCCAAGACCTTTCCAACGGTGTATTGATTATTGCGGTGCGTTTCTGTTTGACGAAGTTACGAAAGTTTGTACACTGGTCTATGCACCGCGATATATCGCGCGCACTTTTTTTGCGAGTTAACTCGCACGTAGTGGATCAGGTCATGCATAAAGTGCGAGTTAACTCGTACTCAGCACGCAAAGGGTTAAACAAAATTGCAGTCGATAGTCAGTACTAGAGGGTTCATCAAGGCACACTTATCTGGGGCGAAGTCAGGTACACCTTGTATTTCGCATTGCAAGACAGTTATTTCGAAAATGGAACCCCCCCCCCCCTCCTCCCTCCCCTGCCCTACGATTTTGACCTTGCTAGAACCATGCTCACCTGTGCAGTTTCCGTTGGTCAGAGCATAGCCGGGAAGTTTGCACTTGCAAGCTTTTGACGCTGCGTCCCACATCTGGTCGGCATTGCAAAGAACTGCGCAGTGTAATTGACGTGACAGCGCACGCATATGCACACTCACACACACACACACACACACACACACACACACACACACACATGCTCACATGCATGCGCACACCCACACGCATGCGCACATGCCACCCACACGCATGCGCACGCGCACTCCCACATGCACGCGCACTCCCACATGCACGCCCATGCCCACATGCACGCCCATGCCCACATGTACGCCCATGCCCAAACGCATACATACACACCCATGCACCCACCCACACACATACCCGCATGCACCCACCCGAACACCCACTCACGCCCACACGTACACAAACGCACATACACACATAACCACGTAGGAAAAGACACCCGCGCATGCAACAACAGAAAGGAGATGGCAAATGAGACGGACTGGGACCAGACCGATGCCAACACGGTACAGAATACGTGCCCTGAAAACAAGAATTTGGTCAACCATTTTTATCCACATTCTGAAGTGTTGCTGTGATCAAGAAGCTGGGTTCATAGGACAAAAAGAGTTACGAAAAATGTGTCTGGATATAAAGGTACTTCCTTGAGGCTTGCACACTCTTATTCCAATAATTGGTACCTCTCTTAGTGTAACCAAGAGTAGATAAACAAGAGTGTGTAACTTGCGGATGGGTTTGCCCACGGCGGAATTTTTTGTTGACGTAATCTTTTCGACGACGCACGCGCTGCGAGTCTTTCGGAAAGTTTTCCCTCGTGCACTTGGCCGGGCTTTACACTGCAAGGTCGGTGCACAGCACGTGCTCTCACACTGCTCTGCGGCAAAATGCGCGTTTCTCTGAAAAAAGGTGACGTCAACAAAAAATTCCGCCGTGGGCGTGGGTATCTGCAGATTGTGCAGGAGAGATCCGGAGTTGCACACTCAGGTTTATCTACTCTTGGTGTAACTCAGAGCTCGAGTGTAGCTCCACGAAAGAGTCGTGTCACTCGTTTGCCTTGCACCGTTTCGCAGCCCAGTGTTCGCAGGGTCTACAGTCCATTCATCGGAAACAGTCCCGCTGCCTTTTGAAAGTCGGATTTTGGCCGAATTGAGGATCAAAACCCACTTTTAATCTCAAAAATCTGGGTTTTTGGATCTGCTTCTCCAAACATTTTGCCATGGCAAACCTCTCCTAATTTTGTAAAACCTGACTGAATTTCTATTTCCCTGTTCTTGGACTTTTCTGCCCTCAAATGTGGCAAGGAGTAATTGCACGGGTCACACAATGCATGATGTACTGTTGTTTTCACGATATCTACAAATATGATTGTGTGGGAGACACCAAACAGCTAGGGTGCCAGTTTCCAATGAATGTGAGTTCCCTTTGGGAACGGACACGATAATTTACTTTTTTACTCTTTTTTTCCAATGAATGGACTGTAGGGCGCTGTGTAACAACGCCCGGCGTGTATATGAGTGACGCGGCTGGATTTCATAGAGCAGCAGCACTGCACTATGCCTGCCTCTCCCCCACTCCTGCCATTCCATCATGTCTCATCGCTGCCTTGCTGCTTTGCGCCGTCAAATGGTGTGTGTTTTTTTGTAAAACAAAACTAAGGCTCAGGGCTGCATTCACTAGGCCGGGCAGATCCATAAAAGTCACAAAGTTTTTGAAGTAAACATATGCAAGGGCCACTCAAACACCACACGCGTCAAGGCCTCCAGATCCCCCCCCCCCCCCCCCACATCCCGCCAAAACAGGATCTGAACAGGATTTGAATCAGCGCAAGGCCAAACACTATTCTGGTCTCAAATTGGCTGAGATGTCTCACTTTCTTGGACTGTTATGATTTCAAACGAAACGTTTGGTTGACAGCTTCAGGCACCCAGACGACCATACGCAGGTGGCAGTGTGGGGTGTTTATGGTACAGATTACGTCATTGCGCAATGGGCTTATACACAGCACACCGGGAGCACCGCTTGAAACCTTAGAAGCCCGGTGTCAGTGGAATTCAGTGCTGCATGTGTAGCGTTGGCACGTTGGTGACTTTCACAGCGTATAGTGTACCGTATATTCTCTATTATAAGCACAGGTCTCCATTACTAGCACAGTCTCTAATACTAGCACACTGTGAGCACCTTTCGAAACATTATAAGCACAGTCTCTATTATTAGCCCGGTCCTGGTGGAAATCAATGCTGCATGCATGATATCTAGCATGTATTTCTTCTCACTCTGTATGGATGCATTGGTTGAAAAAATATAAGCACGGTCTCCAATATAAGCGCGGTCTCCAATATAAGCACGGGGTAGAGGGGTGTTGAAAAAATATAAGCACGGCGCTTATAATAGAGAATATACGGTATATGGTACAGCGTACATTTAGCTTATCCCCGTACGTTAGCGTATCCCCGTACATTAGCGTACGGAGTCTGCCTGTGTATAAAAGCTGCTGCTCACGATTCTTTTCATTGCCAGTTAATTTCAGTTAATTTCAGTTTTTAATAAACAACAGTGTGTTCACTGAGACCCTTGTATTTTTGCCTCCAAGAGACTGCGGCCCGCTACAAAATTGGTGGAAGCGGTGGGATGCGAACCCACGCCTCCGGAGAGACACCAAAATTGGGGGTGCACATAGCATAGCATTGCGGCAGTAAGAAGACTCTACCTACCGACCGTCCTTCAAGATGCGTGACCCGCGCCAATGGCTGCGCGATTCTGCGGACTACTTCTGGCAGTAGCTTTCTCCTTCGGACTTCTTATTGTTGATGTGGAGAGGCGAGATTTGATTGCTTTGTGGATCGACCTGGACTCGCGTGTTGTTGACGAGAGGAAAGCTTTTGAGGATGAGTTTGGTGGACTTACGAGAAAGACGTGTGCTGTGTCCGTGGCAACATCGGGCGACAGTCTGTTTCCTGGTAGTAATGATACAAGCGCTAGCCCGGCCCGCAACTCGACGCCCAGTGAGCGGTAAATTATTTTCTAGTTTCGTACGACCAGCATGGCCCAACCTGCTGCGCCAGCCGCCACTCCTCCTACGGCTGCCCGCTACGTCCATTAATAGCCAGAAATGATGACAGACAGCGTCTCTCCCGATCAAGCTCCATGCCCAACGTAAGCTAATTCCCGATATGGCATTTTCTTTCCTGTCTTCCTTCAGTCTTCCTATTCTCTTCAGTCTTCCTTTATGCGAGTGTGTGAATCCAGTCTAGTTTGGTAGGCGTCCGATCATGGTGAGCCACGGTCTACCCAGCTAACCTGGGATAATGTGTGTGACAATGCCCCTTATAGTGTATTCAGTTCGGTTTTGAACTGCGATGTTCCTGGCAGGTTGTGCCGGTGTTGTGCAGCAAGAATGCTGTGGTTTTTCAGGTCCTATTTGGAGGACAGTTCTTTCCCCTTTTTGACCCCGTGAGATCGTGTGAACCTGGTGTGCTGCTCCTTTATGATTTGTTTATCAGTGCATTCTTCTGTCTATTCCAAACGCTATCATCTCCGATATTATTTGCCATATTCCGGTGGACGCTCTCCCAGTAATTCGCTATCTACTATAATGTTCAATGTTCGTCTTAGTCCTGTGATCTGCTCCTGCGCGCCAGCCAGTACTTCAATGTCAGTTGCCTTCAATGCGTCCGGATATCAACCGAGCCTGTTCACGAATACATACCTGTATATTACGCAAGTCATCCATTCTGCCTATCTCCTATCGTCGAGGTTATTCCGACGCGACCATGCATGCCATCAGTGTCTTCTAATCTCAGTCGATTATTGGAGTCCGGCTATCAACTAAGTAATCTTTCTCGCCCAAGTCCAGTCTGCGCATCATATTATCTTCTATCCGTGTTTGTCACTTCGTGGTCTGCTACTCGTACTCGAATCACGAGGACGTGATTGTATTTGAGAGGGGAGGTGTAGCGTTGGCACGCTGGTGACTTTCACAGCGTATAGCGTATAGCGTACATTTAGCTTATCCCCGTACGTTAGCGTATTCCCGTACGTTAGCGTATCCCCGTACATTAGCGTACCCCCGTACATTAGCGTACGGAGTCTGCCTGTGTATAAAAGCTGCTGCTCAAGATTCTTTTCATTGCCAGTTAATTTACCTTCATTTCAGTTCAGTTCATCCTGATGCTCTGATACATGCCGAGGCTAGCTGTGTGCTCAGTCTCCGGCTAGCTGTATGCTCAGTCTATACATTCTTGATCTTATCTTATCTTTTTTTTTCTTTTCTTGATGTTTTACTGACAGAAGTCGTCTTCATATAAGGAGGCAAATATGTGTGTTTGTTGTACGTCTTTTAATAAATCCAACCAACCAACCAACCAACCAGTTCAGTTTTTAATAAACAACAGTGTGTTCACTGAGACCCTTGTGTATTTTTGCCTCCAAGAGACTGCGGCCCGCTACACATGCATGATGGCCAGTACGTGTTTCTTATTACTCTGTATGCAGTTGTTGGTTGAAATACAGTGAAGCTTGGTTATAACGACACCCGAGATGGAACGCCAAAAAGTCCTTATTTGCGATCTGTCACTATATCCGATCTTGGGATTTCCAACACAATATGCACACCAAAACGCGGCAAAATTAATTTTCTGCACAATGGTGCTTTTTTCAACTAAACACAAGGAGTGCTTCGTCCAACTCAGGAAAACTCGACTGCCTAGAGCTCTTGGCATCGATTGACGTCGCTTTCTTCACTTTGGCCACAATCTCCTCTCGGTTCTTGATGAAGCCAGCGAGAGTACCGTGCGCGACTCCATACTTTTCTTGAACGAATGTCCGCTTTACACCTTTGTCCAGCTCCTGCAGAATGGCGTACTTTTCCGCGCAGGAGAAGCGCTTTCGCTTTCCAACAGAGACAGGGCAAGACATCTCGAACTTCCAAGTCGTTGGTCCAACGACAACTGAGAAAGTGATTTCTCGGAGAAAGAAGCATGGCGAATGTTGCAAAAATCCGTCGCAGAAGATACGGAAGGTACGGAGGGTAAGTGCGCACTACACCTACACAGTACACGTATTTTACCGTCAGTAGATCTACGACATGTCGACACTCCTTCGAAGTTTCCGGGCGTGTACGAGTGTACAGTGCAGTTTTTTTTATTTTTTTTATTTTTACAGTGCAGTGCAGTGTAGTGTACAGTCGATGTACACAAGACTGCACTGTACGATCTTGTGCACCCGCGGCAGCTGTGAAAGCCAGAATCGATCGTACATCGTACTTCGCAGTCGTGAGAATGTCGTTATTTTGACCCATTTTCACACTACGGTGCATGACAATTTGGTCGTTATTCTCGATTTGTTGTTGTTCGAGTTGTCGTTGGAACCGATCTTTTTTGTACACAAATCAATACAAAATTGCTGCTGCCATGGATTTTTTGTCGTTGTAGCTGATCTGTCGTTATAACCAATGTCGTTATAACCAAGCTTCACTGTAGTATAATTATGCTTGTCAGTGTGAGCACACTGGCAAGGTAAGTTCAGGCCTGCTTTAAATCTGGCTTTGGAAAATGTATTCTTCATTGTTATCAGGTTTGGCCTCATCTTTTCTGCGCTGCGCTGATGAGTCCACAAAGGACGGAACAGCACTGTCCACAGATTGAGGTTGAAATACATATTTAGGTTACGTTTGGTTGGTCACATTCCCAAATGGGAATCACTTGGAATCACTCGGAATCATTCTCGCCCGTTTTGTTGGTCAAAAAAGTGTGCTACAGTCCATTTCAAAACTATAGACGCGTACCTAGGCAAAACCCGTTATGCCAGCATCTATACCACATAAAATCTGTGATCACTTTGTGCATAATTTTTCCAAATTGGGCGTCTGTTATCCAATCCTTTAGAAACTATATGAGACTAATTGTGGAGCGATCCTGAGCAATATTCCGAAAACTATTCTCAAAAAGTTCCAGCCAAATTTGAAATATTTCAAAAACCCTACGCGTCTATAGTTTTGAAATGCACTGTAGGTTGGTCACATTCCACATGATTCCAGAATGGGAATCGCTGAGAATAATTCTTTTTGGAGAATGATCATTCCACCTCGCATGCTGGAATGAGCATTCTCATTCCGGAATCAAAAATGATAATGGCTGCCACGAGCCAAACAATGTAGCAACAGGTTCAAGTGCCTCAAATCATGCGCTCAGAAGTACCATGACTCTCTCAAGGAAACTAGAGTTGGGTAAAAGAAAAGACAGCTGCCGTTCCACAACGACATCATGGAATTGTTATGTCAAGTGATTCCTAATTGATTCTGGCGCGTTAGTTTGGTCAGGTGATTCTTGCCGATTCCCATTCCAGAATGGTTGTCATTTACATTCTGAAAATGCCCAACCAAACGCAACCTTAGGAAACCAGTTTTAGCACACGAAGAGACGAAGCCAGCTGTAAATCTGATGAAGCCTTTACAACCAACGCCGTCTCTCGTGTGCTGATATGTCCCCCCCCCCCCGAATGGGTCCTTATTTCAGAAGCCAGTTTTGCCAGAACAACAAACGGTCAAAGTCTGATTATATGTTGTTTTCTTCCAACTGAGTCCTAATTTCAGAGGCCATTCTTGCTAGGACACGAGATGGCCCCAGTGTGCTAATATCAAGAGTGCATACACAAGAGTATGCAACTGTGGTTATGGGTCAGTGCGCGGCGCGCTGCCTTCGTTTTTGCTCGAGTCGCTCCAGTACCTACGGAATCTCTAGACTTTGGCGCGTGAACTCCAGTTCCGTACGAAAGTTCATTTCAAACCAAAGGGAAAGCGCGGTTTTGTTTTCCGCAGTGCGCGGACTGCAGGTGAATGACGTAATGAAGGCAGCGCGCCGCGCATCTGGCCCATAGAAAAGAGATGACAATTGCATACTCTTGTTTATCGACTCTTGCTAATATGTTTCCCTGCGATTGAGCCCCTACTCGTAAGAAGCCAGTTTTTTTGCTAGAACACCAAACCAAAGTTGTTACCTTCGCAGAGGGTCTGCATTGGCCACGGTGTGGATGGCGTGATGCTGTCAATGCCCAAATGGCCGTCGCGGGACGTGATGAGCTTGTCGTCTGCGCCGTAGAACGTCAGCTTGCGCTCGCCCAGCTTGGTCTGCCAGGCATGGAGCAATCGCCGCTTACAGCTGCCAAATGCCTGGCGGGTGACGCGAGGCAACGTCATCCCGAGAGTAGAGCAGTAGTGCCGAGAGTATAGATACGCCGGCATGTCTCTGACTTCCGTTGGTCCCATGAGCAGACGCAGCCGGAAAAAATCGCACTTCTCCTCCGGCAGCGCTGCGTGCCGCGAAATGGCAATGCAATGCAACCACGGACCATACCCACCATTGCACGCACACACCAACGCACGCACGCACGCGCGCACACACACACACACACACACACGCGCACAAACACGCACAGGATATAGTAACTAACATGCATGCATGCACACACACACACACACACACACACACACACACACATATATACACACACACACACACACATATACACATACGCACGCACACAAAAGAACAGATACACAAGCATTCCGGAAAATAGAGAATTCATGGTTCGCATTAGACTCGGCTAGAGGGCGAGTTCTTTTTTGCATCGGTTGCATGTTCACGGATAATTTTTTCCAAATTGGTCGAGAACTCACAAATCTAGCCCTTTGAATTTTGATCAAATAATTGAAATAATCGAATACTCGATCGAATATTATGAATGAGTGATTAATTGGTCACAATAGATACTAGGTTCACCCCTACGTACAGTAAAAAACGTGTGACTAAAGATCACCCATTGGGCCCAGGGAAAGCGGTCTTTAGTGGCAGGTGGTCCTAAGTTAGAGGTTTGCACCGCACCCTGCATACATGAATGTGAGACGGTCCGTGCCTGGGAAAGTGGTCGGTAGTACCAGGCTGGTCGCTAGTCACGGTGGTCTTTAGCCACAGGTTTTACTGTATGTCGATTTGTCCAGCTTAGAAGCCCAACTTTTCAACACGAAGCCCAACTTTTCAACACGAAGTCCAACTTTTCAACACGAAGTCCAACTTTTCAACACGAAATCCAGCTTTTCAACACGAAGTCAATTTTTGAATACGATTCATAGCCCATTTGATAGATGATAAACTGAATAAACTCCCTTTCTTTGGAGTTGGGCCAAATCATTCACCGACTGAACTTCTGCCTCTACAGGGCGTGCTGGCGTGCGTTGTTGCGTGGAAATCTTCACACATCTCTGGATTTGCGTGCGCTTCTCATGCGCTGGGGGTTATAGTCTGTTTCAAAAAGATTTACAATCAGGTTTGGGTCTTAAAAAGTATGAAGATAAGTGAAATTTGGACAACAAAGTACATAGAATGGCTTGTTAGGACACGGCAAATTGTTCTGTGAAGGTTTCGGAACAATTGGACCAACCGTTAAGGAGTTAGAATTTCGGCCAGGTTTCCGGCCTTTTCCCATGGTTTACAATTTGCCCAGGAAGCCAGTATCGATTTTTTATCTAAACCCACGATTTATCCTTTCCTTTTTGGCTTTGTGGTTATGAATGCTGTCTGCTGACCATGTAGTTGTGAGTTCAAATCCCAACCTATCCTCAAGTCAAACTTTTTTTTCATTGTTTTGGTGATCAAGCTGGTACAAGACAAAGAAGGTGGCTGCACCAAACGACTTGTTGTTGGAGCTCGCGCTTCCTGCCGAACTGACTGACACTTGACTGGCTCACGCCATGTGAACACACCCACAACACTGCAATGGTGTGAGTGAATTATAATGGAAGTCATCGCGCTGTAGCTTTTTGAGATTTATTTTAGTATTTCAAGATCGCCAATTTATTTGAATTTAGCAGTCAACGCCGTCTTCTATCAGAGTTCACAAGCGTTTGCTTTTCTCGTCGAAGTCACACGGATAGCTTTGCCAAGTCATGGCCTTGGGAATGAGTCCGTGTCGATGTTGTTTTCGTCACACGGTGAGTAAATTGCATCGCAGCTCAAAGAAACTATTTTGGTCACAAAACGAATTGGGACCTATGCCGCTCGTCAACATTTACAACACTTTCGTTTCGACGTGTCCTCTCTGACTCCATTATCGATACGAGGAAGAACTCGTTTGTTGTAAACCAGACGTCCATGGCTGTGTCAACGCGAGTGAGTTGTCATTTTTCTTGCTTTCGCGCAGAATATTTCTTCGAGTTCACAGTGAGTTTTTCCAGGCAGCGCTCGAGTGCTCATACGGTAAGACGCCAAACTCCGCGGGCGATCGCCAGGATTGTAAATCTTTTTGAAACGGACTGTAGTGCACAGGGGTTGACAGGTGTGTATGTGTGTGTGTGTGTGTGTGTGTGTGTGTGTGTGTGTGTGTGTGTATGTGTGTGTGTGTGTGTGTGTGTGTGTGTATGTGTATGTGTGTGTGTGTGTGTGTGTGTGTGTGTGTGTGTGTGTGCATGCGTTCACACAATACAGAGGACGACGGGCTCACTCTGCTGCGGTAAAAAGTAGCAAAACGGACACGAGCACGAAGAGCAACAAGCTGAGAGGCGTGTGTGCATGCGTACCGTGTGTGAACGCCATACAGAGGATGACGTATGGCGCGATAAAACACACACACACACACAAGCACGAAGACCTACGTTGACAGCGGTTCACCGAGAAAAGTTCGAAGTTACCGCAGTGGCACATGCCCTTGACTGGCCCAGCCGCCAGGCCTTGGGGACACCTGCAGCCGGACCACGACTGCTGTACCTTGCTGCAGCCGCACGTCTGGTTATCATAGTTGTACGTATCTCTCAGCTGGCATTCACATGCGCCCGTGGTCGTGTTCAGCTTCAAGCCGCTCTCGCACGCACACCGCTGTCCGTTCCAGTAGGTCTTGTCCGGGCAGTTCACTGCACATGCACGCAACACCAAACGACAAAACCAAAGTCACAAAATCATGAATTTCACGGCAAAAGAAAATGCTGTCAAGAATTAGGAAACTCGGCCAAACACGTTGATATGGAGACAGTGCGTTCTGAAATATAATTCAGCATTAATATCTGTACGGATGTGAGTTTCCCACTGGCTTACTTACTGTGAGTTTCCCACTGGCTTACTTGCTGGGATTTCACACCCATTCTATGTCCAGACTGTAAATCTTTCTGGGTGTAAAGTACCAAAAGTGCCTTCGTGCTAGTTTTGGGTTTATCCCCCCCCCCCCGGGCACACACACCTGCCCACTCAGCCAAACACATGCACACACGTGAACACGCATGCACACGTACACATGCACACACACGTGCACACACACACACGTGCACACACGTACCCACCAACTCACCCCCTCACCCCCCCCCCCACACACAAACAAACAAACACACACACTTTTTTTTGTGGACCTTTTGACGCCCATCGCCAGAGGTGATGATAGCGATGCTACAGCAGAAGCCATAGCAGCTTGTGCTGGGATTGCACCATTCAACAGCTTGCAAGGCTGAAGAATTGACCACCACTATTCAGCCTGGTCTACAACACACAGCTATGAAGTGGCTTTTTTCTGGCCAGTGAATCCCTACACACACACACACACACACACACACACACACACACACACACACACACACACACACACGTGCACACACACACACACACACACACACACACACACACACACACACACACACAGGTACACAGGTACACACACAATCACGCACACACACACACACACACACACACACACACACACAGGTACACAAATGTCCGGCCGCCTCCCTTACCGCATACAGTGACACTGGCCTGCTTCTCCGTTTCCAGATTGAATTCTGCTCCGGTTGCCTGGACTTTAGCCGCAGCACATGCCGCATGACTAGCATCACAGCCGGTCAGCCAGTAAGTCGGAGCGCCGTTGGCCGTGCCCGTTTGGCCGGAGCGAAGTCCACTGAGGAATTTTCTCAGACACTCCACGTTGTGCGAGAGCGATGGCAGATGCATGCCGCCCGCGGCCGCCGCGCAGAACGTCTGTGCCTTGGACACGGACGTCGGTTTGTCCACAATGAGGAAGTCAAGTCCGCCGCTGCGGCCGTTTTTCTCGCACGACAGATAGAGCGGCGCTGTGATACAGCAAGTAATAACAATAGAACAGTTCGCGTACAGGGCAGCAATCTAATGCTGACCTTCCCACTTCTGTCTCTTTTGAGCTCGGCTACATGTGATGGTGGATTGTCCGCGAGAAAAGGGAAAAAAGAAAATAAGTGCACTGCCGGACAGAGGTTGTTGTTGTTGTGGTTGTTGTGCTTCTATATATAGTCGTTCAACCAAAAAGGCAATGGTGCCTCCTCATAAGGAGACGACTTAGAAGAGGAGAGGGCAGAAAGAGGATGGGGAGGGGAGAAAAAGAGGTATGTATGGAGATGGGTGTTTGTAAGCACGTGTGTGCGTGTGCTAGTATGCGCGCGGGGAAGTGCGACACAGCAAGTACTGTAGCTGATGTCAGCAAAGCACAACACAGCATGCTGGGTGGGCTATCAGCTGACATTAAGTCTGTCAGGCGGCGAAACCGCTCAATCCCATCGCCTCCTCCCCCCCCCCTTCCCAATATTTCGTCGTGATAGTACTGTGTGCATCTATCGTTAGCTCATCATGAAGCCGAGACCTCAGGTGGGTTGAGTGCACTAGATCCTGCCATCCATTTGCTCCTCAATTCTAACAAGATCGGAGCCTGTGGGCGCTCGTCGGAAAACCCGGCCGAAGCGATCTGCTTGCCGATGTTGCCCATGCTACTGCAACTCTCTACTGGCTCAGAGCCTGTGCGTCATGCATACCGCATATTCTCTATTATAAGTGCTGTGCTTATAATATTATATTTTCAACACACCTTTACCCGGTTCGTACAGTGGAGACCGTGCGTATATTTTAGACCGTGACTTTTTTTCAAACAATACCTGGATGCAGAGAATGAATAAAGACATGCTAGACATGATGCGTTGAGCACTGAATTCCACTGAGACCATGCTAATATTGATACAGCCATACTTGCAAAATATAAAAACGAGAGAGCTTGGAAGCTCAGGGCCCTACGCTATGCTTTTTTGCCTAGCTCATCGTGCGTGTTATTAGAACTGATGGAAATGTTCTTTTTTCCATTGATTGGCTATAGTGTTTTACGTCGACCATGACGGCTACAACACCCAACCACACCACAACGAACTGATCGGCTACATCATTGTATTGCAAAACTTTTCCATCAGTTCGAATAACATGCATGATGAGATAGGCAAAAAAGCATAGCGTAGGGCCCTGAGCGAAAGAAATATACTTTCTCTTGTCATAGGCAAAAAGGATAGGGATGTTAAAAAAATTCATTTCTCCTATTTTATTTTCAAGACATAACCTAGGATTCGAACCCGCACTATCGCCCTGCATGCATTCCCCCGGCACACTTCGCATACATACTCATTCTTCCAAGTTGTTTCACGTTATGATCTTGCATTTGAAAGGCCTATTTGAATATTGTCGCCATGGCCAGCTGTCTTTGATGGTACGGTACGGGACAGGTACGGGATAACGCCAGGCATGCCGACGGCACAAAACAAACAGACACACACCTTGATGGTACGGTACGGGACAGGTACGGGATAGCGCGAGGCATGCCGATAGCACAAACAAACAAACACGAAATTAAACCTGTGTGGACCCTGGCTAGCGCCAGACGAACGTCTTTTGCATAGCTACAGGAATAAAATAAAATGCCTCCCGTCCGCCCCGATTTCACGGGAAAATCTGATGATAAACAATCAATATATTTTACATGACCTAATGTTGACAGTGCATCTTGTATTCAAAACAGGTACTTCTATGTGTGTTTCAACACAAAAACCAGGCTTATAATGAGCCCATTGTGCATTGCCAAATATGGAAGGTATGCGTAATGCACGTGAGTACGCTGGGATCAGCAATGCACTGTTCAACACCCCAGATGACCATGCCCAGGTGGCTGTGTGGGGTGTTATGTGAGTACCCTGGGATCAGCAATGCACTGTTCAACACCCCAGACGACCATACCCAGGTGGCTGTGTGGGGTGTTTATGGTACAAATTATGTCATTGCGCAATGGGCGTATTATGTTGACAGTTTATCCGGTACAAGCAAGAGTACATGAAAACCAGAGTGTGCAGCTTGGGCCCTTTTCTGCTATGGGTGTCTGTCACGGCGGAATTCCGTGATTACATCATATTCGGCGCAGGTCTGAGGCGGGAAATGGCGTAGTGCGTACAACTGAGCTGCAGTTGTGCAGAAAGAGACCTGCTTGAATCCTGCTTGTACGCACAACATCACTAAAATGATGTAATCACGGAATTCCGCCGAGACAGCCACCCATCCGAGCTGCACACTCTGGTTTTCATGTACTCTTGTCTGTGTTCAACACGGGCTCCTTACTTCTAATCGAGACAGGCCACAAGACACTACGGTCGATCATCTTAATCTTACCGATCGAGTCCTGTCTGGGTGCTTCTTCGCTCATCACTCCAGGACTACACTGGAGTGCTAGTAGCGCAGCGAGCAGGTAGAAACATGCGTGATTGGCTGTTGCCAGGGTGTTGCCGGTGGTAGCCATGGCGATCCGTGCCTGCAGAGGAGAAACATGCATTTGTCAGCCGTGTTTGGCATTCACCCCCTTCCACTTGATTGGCAACTGCAAGCTATGGGATGTGGAATAGATAAATAAATGAAGACTTAGTCGAAGGGAAATGTAGTAGCACACAAATAGACAACGACCGTTGTAGATCTGATGAGGCCTTTCGTACCATTTTTCTTCGCCACAATATGACCTGGTACTGATTTGAGAAGTAACGGTTCGAAAAGCCTCGTCATATTTACAACTTGCTTCATCTTTTCGTGTGCTAAAGAAAAAACAAAAAGATAAACATGGCGGTGAGCTGGTCGCGACGTGTGAGCAGAGCGCTCTCACCGCAGCCATGTCTGACACACACGTGTCGACAGAGCGCTCTCACCGCAGCCATGTCCGACGCACACGTGTCAGCTGAGCGCTCTCGCCGTAGCCATGTCCGACGCACACGTGTCAGCTGAGCGCTCTCACCGCAGCCATGTCCAACACACACGTGTCAGCTGAGCGCTCTCACCGCAGCCATGTCCGACGCACACGTGTCAGCTGAGCGCTCTCACCGCAGCCATGTCTGACACACACGTGTCGACAGAGTGCTCTCACCGCAGCCATGTCCGACATACATGAGCTGCGCAGCGCGAACACTGCTGCATTACCCCGAATATAAGTCGCACCTTTTTTTCTACCCTAAACGTCAAGAGCAAAGAAGTGGGTGCGACTTACAATCGAGTGTGTCCTCCCAGGCCCGCCGGAACCAGTTTTTTGAGTGGTCCAGTAGTATTGTGGTCTTTCATACAGTTTGTGAATCGAAACGGCGGATACATGTGCCGCCCTCCACAGCAGTGAACATGTGTTGGTGGCCAAAAGGTTGGTTCGGTGATAACCTGACCAACCGGACCGGTTCCGGCAGGCCTACCTCCTATTGACGTGAATGTATTGAAACAATAGGAGCGTCGGACCCGGTACGGTCACTACGGTATTGACCGTACCACGTTTTGCCCCAGGTACCTTGTGAATCAATAAAATACACTGATAATTATGGGATGTAAATTTCCAAGGTATTCGGCTCAGCCACCAATCCTACTTCTCAGTGCGTTCTGATATGAATAATAATAATTATTATTATTTAAATTTTGAATAGGGCAATCCCCACAGGCAAGAGTGCATAAACAAGAGTATGCAACTGTGGTTATGGGTCGGTGTGCGGCGCTCTGCCTTCACTACGTAATTTGCCTCCATCACGATCTGAAAGCATGCACTCAAACCTACAATTTCTTGTGCATGCCCGACCATGTTTCCTCAATTCATTCCAGTACCTACGTGATCTCAAAATTTTGGCGCATTAACTGCAGTTCCGTACGAAAGTTCATTTCAAACCAGAGGGAAAGTGCGGCGTTTGATTTTCCGCAGTGCGCGGACTGCAGCTGAATGATGTAATGAAGGCAGCGCGCCGCGCATCTGGCCCATAGAAAAGAGATCACAGTTGCATACTCTTGTTTATGGACTCTTGCCACAGGCCTAAGTCCTTTTTTACAGGGTACCCTAATGGCTAATGCTGGTCTTAGTTACATGCACTCGCCGTAAATTTGGTTGAGCTTACTGAATTTGCAGCGAAGAACCCCCTTGCTTTGGTGATGATGTAGGGTTTTGTGTATTGCATGACAGTTTGTGTATAGGCGAAAGAAACGCACCACCCCCCCCCCCCCCCCACACACACACACACCCGCACAAACAAACAAACCCGTCCGTACATTGTGTTCAGAGCGACAAGTGGAATTCTTTTGAATTCTTTCGAATCCAAGCACCTAGCAATAGTAGTAGTAGTAGTAGTAGTAGTAGTAGTAGTAGTAGTAGTAGTAGTAGTAGTAGAAGTAGAAGTAGTAGTAGAAGTAGTAGTAGTAGTAGTAGTAGTAGTAGTAGTAGTAGTAGTAGTAGTAGTAGTAGTAGTAGTAGTAGTAGTAGTAGTAGTAGTAGTAGTAGTAGTAGTAGTAGTAGTAGTAGTAGTAGTAGTAGTAGTAGTAGTAGTAGTAGTAGTAGTAGTAGTAGTAGTAGTAGTAGTAGTAGTAGTAGTAGTAGTAGTAGTAGTAGTAGTAGTAGTAGTAGTAGTAGTAGTAGTACTCCTCCTCCTCCGAACACGGAACTCACCTGACGCGTCGACTTGCTGTTTGGAAGTCAGGAGACATCAACACCCTGCTGCGTGAATGCCGATGCATCCAGGCGCATCTTCCGGCACACCATACCCGGAACGTCGACCAGTCAGGCCAAATTGACGACACCTTGTTTTCAAAACTCGTATGTTCTGGGAAAACGCAGTCAGCCATTCGGATGGTTTGCTCCAGTGGCTCGGGTGGAGTGTTGTCAATGAGCGACACTGTCAGCGGCAGCCCAGGTTCAACAGTACGTGACATTCTGCTTGATAAGCATCCCCAGCCTGCTGTACCTCCGGATGACGCTCTCTTGCAGGGGCATGACGCGGCTACCCCTCAAGATCCGATCCTTTTTGCCAGGCTCACAGGAGCGCTGATCAAGCAGATAAGTCGTCAAATGTCCGGAGCGGCCGGTCCATCGGGCCTGGACTCTGATGCGTGGAAACGCATGTTGACCTGCTTCGCTGCAGCGTCTGACCAGCTCTGTGCGGCAATGGCAGAAGCAGGAAAACGCTTATGCACCCAGGAAGTCCCACCAGAAGAGCTAAGTTCGTTCACTGCGGCCCGCCTCATCCCACTGGACAAGCAACCGGGGGTGCGCCCTATCGCTGTTGGGGAGGTTTTCCGGAGACTAATAGGCAAAGCTGTGATGAAGATAATTCAGTATGACGCCATGCACGCTACAGCCCCTCGTCAACTCTGTGTTGGTGTTCCGTCTGGGTGTGAAGCTGCCGTGCATACGATGACCGACATGCTTGTCTCGCCGGAGGTGGAGGGTGTGCTCTTGGTCGATGCCACCAACGCTTTCAACGCTATGAACCGCACAGCAGCCCTACACAACGTGCCACTCGTCTGCCCTGCCCTGGGGCAGGTGTTCAAGAACACCTACAGCAGTCCATGCCGCCTGTTTGTGTCGGGTGGTGGAGAGATAAGGAGTCAGGAGGGTACCTGCCAAGGTGATCCTCTCGCCATGGCGATATACGCGGTCGCCATGATGCCATTGATAGACAAGCTGTCAGAGTGCTGCCCCGACGTGGTGCAGCTATGGTATGCTGATGACGATGCTGGTGGCGGACAGCTCCTCAATCTAAGGCAGTACTGGGATGGGATTCTGGAGCATGGCCCTGGGTATGGGTACTACCCTAACGCCAACAAGACAACACTAATTGTCAAGGAGCAGCATTCGGCCCTGGCACTCCAGCTTTTCAGGGACACGGGCATTCGTGTTGTGACCGAGGGTGCTCGTTATCTTGGCGGCGCACTCGGTACAACGGTCTTCTGTGAGGAGTATATCACAGATTTGATCGACAAGTGGACGCTGCAGGTTGATCGCCTGGCGGAGGTGGCCACCACTCAGCCACATGCTGCGTACGAGGTGTTTGTAAAGGGCCTCGTGTCCAAGTGGCGGTACCACTTGCGCGTCCTATCTTGCCCTGCGCATCTTCTGGCCCGTCTCGACGCCGCCATTACGGACAAGCTGCTGCCAGCGCTCAGCGGCCATTCGTGTTCGGACGAGTCGGCACTGAGAAAGTTGCTATCGCTACCAGCGCGGTTTGGTGGCATGGCAATCCCTGTGCCCTCGGTGGAGGCCGAGAAAGAGTTTTCTGCATCCAGACAGATTGTGGCTCCTGTGGCGGCCTGCATAAGACCACCAGAACATCCAACCAGCACCAACGAAACTACTCAAACAGACCAGCTGAACGAGGCAATAGCCCTCAGCCGGCAGGAGGCCGGGCGTATTCGCAGAGAGAAAGCTGCCCAAGCCACGGGTCTCGTTAGCGAATTGCGCCCGGATTTGACAGCAACACAGGCGCTGTTGGTGGAGAATGCCGCGGAAAAGGGCGTATCATCTTGGGTAACGGCGGAACCATCGTCCCAAATGCAGATGGTGCTGAACAAATCGGATTTCCGAGATGCGTTCTGCATCCGCTACGGCCTGCAGCCTGACGGACTCCCCCTGACTTGTGTATGTGGTGCTGCAAACACAATAGACCATGCGATGATGTGTCCGGCAGGGGGCTACCCCATGGCACGCCACAATGAGATCCGGGACTTGTTGGCTGACGTGATGCGTGAGGCGGTCCGGGATGTGGAGGTAGAACCGCCTCTACTACCATATGATGGTGAGCGGCTCCAAGGGAGGACAGCCAACCGCTCGGCAGGTGCCCGCCTGGACATCCGGGCTTGTGGCTTCTGGACGAGACAGCAAGATGCCTTTTTCGACATCCGGGTTACACACCCAAAGGCAAGCTTGCTGTCGCGTCAGGAAGTCATCAGCCAGCTCCGAACGCATGAACGGATGAAGAAGCGCCAGTACGGAGAGCGGGTGACAGCAGTTGACAGAGGTACGTTTACACCGCTAGTTTTTTCTACCTCGGGCATGATTGGCAGAGAATGTTCAATGGCACTGAAGACACTGGCATGCCTGATTGCTGAGAAGAACGTCGACCTACACGTATCGGTTATCATGGGTCAGCTCCGTTGTAAGCTGTCAGTCTGCCTTATGCGATGGGCAGTCACCTGTTTGCGTGGTTCAAGATCGTCATACCGCCGCAACAGGATGAATTTCACGACGATGTGCAGGTTGCGGGCAGCCTGAGCGTGATAGTACCTGACAGACATTTGCCCAACATTGCCCCATGATAATGAATTCTTGAGTTTTTGGACATTGTATTGCATTGCTGCTCCATCTACATGGCTGTATTTGTGTTTCACATCTCCATTTCAAGTTTCCTAATAAAGATTGTGTCAAGTAGTAGTAGTAGTAGTAGTAGTAGTAGTAGTAGTAGTAGTAGTAGTAGTAGCAGATAAGTCGTCAAATGTCCGGAGCGGCCGGTCCATCGGGCCTGGACTCTG